AAGGGACCCCACCAGTGCACAAATGCATGCACCGGGCCTCTAGTTACTAATAAGCAAATTAAGTTTCTTTTGGTGTGAGCCAGGAATTGCATAACTCTCACATTTTGAGCTCTTACCACTTCAGTAGAGGAGTATTTGCCTATATTCTTATGCAAGACTGTAATATGCATGTGTAATTTTCAGAATGGCTTTAAATTCTGCTTAAAATAGGATGAATGAATGGATGGGTAGGCTGTGGATGGTTAGAAATTATAATTTCTAAAGTTTACTTTCTGAATTTATATGTTTTGATAAATCATGGTTTTATCTCTGCTGGATTTATTAGTTGAATCCTCTCTGTTAACAGCCTCAAATCAGAGGGCAATCCCCTTTAGTTTAAAGCTTTTTGTCACGTTATGTTAAAGGTGGTTCTCCCTTTTCCCCTCCTCGCTGGCATCTGTGAGCACCAATTCACAGCTAGAGCAGAGGCAGGAGAATGAAGCTGTTAGAAGCACAGACTTTGGAGTCAAACTGCCTGGGTTTGAGTGCACCCCCTCTACTTGCCATCTGGGTGACATAGAGCAAGTCACTTCATTCTCTGAGTCTCAGTTTTGTCATCTATAGTGTGGCAGTATAGAACCCACCTTAGAGACATTCTGAGGATTAAATGAGTTGATGTTTGTAGAGCATTTAGAACAGCAGCAGGCACAAGGAAGCACCAAATGTTTGACAAATGAGGGTTCTTTTTTTAAAAATATATTTTATTGATTTTTTACAGAGAAGAAGGGAGAGGGATAGAGAGTTAGAAACATCGATGAGAGAAATCGACTAGCTGCCTCCTGCACGCCCCCCAGGGGGGATGTGCCCACAACCAAGGTACATGCCCTTGACCGGAATCGAACCTGGGACCCTTGAGTCCACAGGCCGACGCTCTATCCACTGAGCCAAACCGGTTCGGCAGACAAATGAAGGTTCTTAATTGTGATAGTTATGAGCAGTTGTGATTGTTACTAATAATGAAGTGAAGATGCTGGCATATTTTTTAAAAATTAGAGAAAGCTGATGTTTATTGCCAAAGTAAATCTTTTTTTAAAATATATTTTATTGATTTTTTACAGAGAAGAAGGGAGAGGGATAGAGAGTGAGAAACATCAATGAGAGAGAAACATCGATCAGCTGCCTCCTGCACACCTCCTACTGGGGATGTGTTCGCAACCAAGGTACATGCCCTTGACCAGAATCGAACCTGGGACCCTTCAGTCTGCAGGCCGACGCTCTATCCACTGAGCCAAACCGGTCAGGGCGCCAAAGTAAATCTTGATGCTATTTTACTTGTATTCCTTGTACATTTTATTAATAACTAGAGGTCTGGTGCATGAAAATTCATGCACTGGAGGGGGAGATCCCTCAGCCCGGCCTGTCCCCTCTCACAATACAGGAGCCCTTAGGGGCTGGAGGTGACCTGGCGATCAGGGGAAGGCGACACTCCATAACACCTATGCTGCTGCCACTGCCAGCAGTGCTAGCCTCAGCTGGCACTGGTTACCTGAGCCTCGGGTGGCCCTGGGCGGCTGTGCATCTGCCATTCGAGGCTTGCCTATGCCTTGGGCTGGGCCTGGACGGCTGGGCAGCTGACATCCGAGACTTGCCTGTACCTCAGGCTGGCCCTGAGCAGCTGGGGGGCTGAGGGGACTGGGGGTCTCCGGAGGTAGGCAGGCAGAGTGGCTGTGCCTGCCGCCCTGGCGGGGCTGAGGGGACTGGCGCTGCCATCTTGTGGCTGTGGGCGCTGCCATCTTTGAGGGTGTGGCAGTCAATTAGCATATTACCTCCTTATTGGCTGTGGGTGCTGCTATCTTTGAGGGTGGGACAGTCAATTAGCATATTCCCTCCTTATTGGCTGTGGGTGCTGCCATCTTTGCAACAGCATGAGGGTCAATGAGCATATTCCCTCTTTATTAGATAGGGTTTCTCAGGTTCTTCAAAAGAACATAGCTAACATTGTCTCTATGCCAAGCTTTATGCTGAGTATTTACTTGAATGTTATTTAGCTCTAACAACGCTGTGAAGGTAGCAGTACTGTATCTTGTCTTATAGGAGAGGAAACTGACCTGGAGATGGTAGGTAATTTTTTGAGGTCACACCGCCAGTAGTTGGTGGTGCTGGGAGGCATAGCTCTGCATCTCTGACTCCAGTTCCCTACCCAGAACCTTATCCTGCCTCTTGCATGGGGCCAGACAGGGAGTGATAATGTGGAGTATGTTGGGGAATATGCTGACTTATTTCTCTTGTTTACTCAGTAATAATGGAACACCCACCAACTATATATGGGAAAAGATCCATGAAAGGCCAATGTAGAGTCATTAGAGATAATTACTATTAAGTATAGAGAGGATTCTTTGTGATAGGGATATTCCTATACATTTACATTTTAATGCAAACTTGTATACCATCTCAACTACTTCAAAGGTTATAAGATGAAATAATCCATGAAAAGCTTTCTGCAGAGTCTGACACTGCAACAGTTCCTGTTATTGTCACTGTAGTTGGCCCTTGATCCTCAAAGGGACTCTTCACAAGTCTAACTAGTTCTTGGAATTTCAGAGGTTAAATGATATATGCAGTCACTTAACAGATTCATGGTGGAACCAACACTTGCCTCTAGTCCAGCTTTCTCTAAGCCTGATGGCTTCATTCTGCAAGCAGACCTCCTACCTCCACACTCCACCCCATTGGTGGAGAAGCTCACAGCCCCTACTTAGTCTAGGAGCCTCATGTTGCTTTATCCCCTGAATAAGTTCTGTAATGGATTTTCCTCTGTGTAACTCGATCATCCAAGCCTTCCTGGATGGATTCAGCTGCAGTTGTAATCAGAACTATTTTATAAAGACATTTAGTTTGTAGCTCACCCGGCATAGTGCATGGCACTGTTTCAAAATTTGTGAATTTTCTTCCCCTCACTCTTCTCTTCTTTTCCTAGGTCCAGATATTACTTATATGTTAATGAATGTAAAAACAGGTCTTTTAAAATCTGTTTTCTCTCCTGGCGCACACAGTGTGACTACATGGTATTTTTAACGGGTTAACCTACACTGTGACTCTGTGAAGGAGGGAGACATGCGTGGTCTCTGTTTTATTGGAGATGAGGAACTGATGTGCCTATTCCAAGGTTTCACACTGGCACATGACAGAGTTCTCTTTGTTATTCTCCTGCAGCTCTTATGTTTATTGTAAATGATGTGTTTTCATCTGTACTGTTTTCATGCTATTTTAAGACTGTGTGAAATTTATAGAAATTTTATTAGAAATCTTTATCCTATGATTTAAACTTGCTATATGTATTATGTGGTCCTGAAATGACTCAGAATTCCTTAAATGACTTTTTTCTCTCCCTTCAAACAAAATCTTAGCAGTACCACTGCAAAATACCAGTGTGAAATGTCATAAAACAGGTTATTCCAGCCAAGAATCTGAGGTGAGGACAGCTTTAAATTGTTCAGGCACATTAAAATCAAATCAGTGGTGGGAATGCTGGCAGCTAGTCAGAAAAGATGTCCTATAGCACATTAAAAATCTTATCCCCTAGTGAGGATGATCAAGAACTTGGCATATGTGTATCTGTGGCCACAGAAGAAAAAAAGGATCATTTTCATCACAGTGTCAGAGGTAGGCAGCCACAACTCCATTTGAATCACTGCGCATTTCTTCATATTTCAAAGGAGTTTTAATTCATTTTGTTTATTATCATAAACATATTTCCACTTAAGAAAACATAAAATTTATTAAGATAAGTGTAATTTAAAATTCAAAGACCTGAACCACTCATGGCATTATTATTTAAATGGATGCAAGACATTTTACTTCAGGGATATTACAGGTTTGGTTGCAGGCCACCACAATAAAGTGAATATCACAATAAAGCAAATCACATGAGATTTTTTGTTTCCTAGTGCATACAAAAATATGCTTACACTATACTGTAGTCTATTAAATGTGCAATAGCTTGTGTCTAAAAAATGTACAAAGCTTAATTAGAAAAATACTTTTTCACTAAAAACTGCTTACCAATATCTGAACCTTCAGTGAGTCATAATCTTTCTGTTGGTGGAAGGTCTTGCCCTAGTGACATCAAAGATCACAGATCACCACAACAAATATAATAACAAAAAAGTTTGAAATATTGTGAAGATTACCAAAATGTAACAGAGACACGAAGTGAGCAAAGGCTGTCGGGAAAATGACATCAATAGACTTGCTCAATGCAGGGTAGCCACAAACCTTCAATTTGTAAAACACAGTATCTGCGAAGCACAGTAAAAGCAAAGCCCAATAAAATGAGGTGTGCCTGTACTGAGCTCTGTAGCTGACTTGTCATGTTTAATATTTCTCTTTTCGTCTGCATAGGAAAATAGCTTCTGTAAGGTGAATTTAAATGATACAGCAACCTAATAAATGTGGTTGGCCTAGCAAGTGATAAACATAACTAATTCAAGTGTCTTTTATATAAAAATAATGAACCAATACATTAAAGATTTAAAATGTTTTAATGCAATTAGCAAAAATTAGTATTCAGTAATGAAGCATGTTTCAGTTTTAAGATGGAGTTTACATCATCATTCAGTAACCAGATAAGGACTAAATTCAGGTACACATTAAAAATTTTATCAAGAACTTTATTCAGCTGATGTATATGTTAAAAATAAATAAAAGTGAAGTGCTTTGAGAAAAACTGATAAAACAGTATGTAATAAGTGCACAAAAGGAAACCAAAGTCCTCAAGGACTGTGAGGAAACCAAGACATGAGATGACTTAATAAGGAACGAAGAACATAATACCACCTGACTCCTTGGGGGAGGCGGACAGGCTCAGTGCAGGTGGAACCTAAGGGGAAATGCAGTTGCCTGGCTTCGCTACTAAATAAAATGAGCCTTTGTGTTGGGGATGCTAACAAAAAGGCGGTGAGTGTGCAGTAGTGACTGTTTTGATGTCACTTGTGGCATGTTGGCACTCTGCTCCTTTGCAGGTGGATGGCAAGCAATCCGATGAGGCGGCCTTGATCCTCCACAGGAAGGGCTTTGATTGCCGCTTCTCCAACAGAGACACGGGGCTGCTTTGTTCCACTACCCAGGGGAAGGTGAGCTGAAAGATTTTTGTTTGTCAAGTTAGTTGTGCTTTCAAATCCTTACATTCTGCAATAATCCTGACAATAAGATAATGTTTCATTGCTTCTTCATTGATTTTTTACTCTCAGCTACAAATTAGCTCAAGTCTCCACATCTTAAGAAAGCACTTTCTCAACCTTCAGTCTCCTCTCCTTGTCAACATGAAAATGCACAGCCGGAACGTGTGTATATTTGAATGTTCTCATTGATTCTTAGGCTCTCCATTTCTTACCTGCAAAACATCTTCAGATTACCTCGCCACCATATTTTCTGCTTTCTTGGGTATACTCATGCATGATCTAGTTCAGTGGTCGCCAACCAGTGGTCCGTGGACCACTGGTTTCCGTGAGGTCTGAAAGATTGGCGACCGCTGATCTAGTTCAGGGATGGCAAACCCAAGTTCTGTGGTGGCCGACACAGCTTTATAATAGCTTAAGTGAATTGGGGGAGCAGTAGGAAAGGCAACAAGGAGCAATGAGAGTGTGGCCAGTGGGAGAATTCAGCCACCGCCCCCAAGGCAACTATCCTCAGCTTGCATCAGTTGTTTCCCCATGGAAACATGCTGGTCTAGATCTTCTGATGAAGCCAGATTGGCATGCGAGTCCTCACTGTGAAGGCCAAACATCCTCAGGCTGACCACTGCTGGATTTTTTATTTCTCTTTAAGTTGGTCTTGCTCACAGTTCCATCAAACCTCTCCCTGGAAGAAAGAAAAACTTCAGTCTTCTGCTTGTGTCTCTGAGAAGGTTGTAAGTAACTCTGGGAACACAGTAAGGATGGTTCTAGTACACAGACAGGTCTGCCCCACCCAGCAGTGCAACCAAACCAGCTCTTCTCCAAAACCTCACACATAAACCCTGTAGACCTGACTCAACAGATTTGGTTCCAAACCTTACAAATTAGCATGTACATAGTGAGAAGAAGAGAGATGCGGTAGGGGACCTAAATCTATGCAGATAAGCTTCTTTCTCCATTTCGTTTACCTCACCCTTCGTGGAGTTGGTACTAAAAAAGCACTGATATCTTTATTTCTCTTTATTATATTTGTACCTCTACCTACCTTATTGTTGATATAAGCATACTTGGTTGTGAGCATTTGTATTTGAACATTAAGGCTGTGAGTCTTATGGGAGCTGTAGGATCCAGACATATTCATGCAGCCTCCCCACCCTATACCCTATAAATGGGACTCATTGACATGATGAGCCCTCCTTGTGGCAGGTTCGTCTCCTGTCTCAGCTCTGTTGGAACAGGAAAAATGGTTAGAGCCACTTGTGTTAAGTGTTTTAAAGCTCCCTGGCCCATAGATGTCCCTAATTTTTATTGAAAAGGGGCCCCTCACATGGTAAGTTCTCAGGCTGTACAATAAAGGAGTATAGCCCAGGTTGACCTCTCCTGGTTCCCACTTTCCTGTGTTTCTCCCAGGGGTGGTCTGTATGTTCAAGCCTGCAGAGGTATATTTAATCTCCCTCCCTTCCTCATTCTTTTACTTAAAAGGAAGTTCAAACATACTGTTTTAGCCTGGCCTGGTGGGGCTCAGTGGTTGAGCATTGACCCATGAATCAAGAGGTCACTGATTCGATTCCTGGTCAGGGCACATGCCTGGGTTGCAGTCTCGGTCCCTAGTGAGGGGTGTGCAGGAGGCAGACAATATATGATTCTCTCTCATCATTGATGTTTCTATCTCTCTACCCCTCTCCCCCTTCTTCTCACTCTGAAATAAAGAAATAAACTGTTTTACTCTGTCTTATACTATTTTTCACTGATTATAGAGCTGTGTTGCTAATCTTTCTTCAAAAATGATCTAAATATGCACATTTTATCATTTACTTTTTAGATATTGATACAGAAACTTTTTAACAAATTTACTGTTGCAAATCTCGTACCTTCATCGTTGTCCTTGATGCATTCACCTCCAGACGTCCGAAATATAAGTGAGATCAACTTGAGGCCCATGGAAATCAGCACATTTCGAATCCAGTTGAGGTGAATCTGGCTTTCAAATTTGGACTGTGAAGCATTGGCTTATCTACACTTCTTAATTTAACGTGCAATAAGAAGCACATTATTTAAGCTTCTGGCTACTGTGAGGACATGAATTCTGTGTTTTGTGTTTAACCATTACATAAGAAAAAAAAGCCATGCTACAACCAGTTTGGGTTTTTTTGTGTGTTTTTTTAAGTTTCTTTCATCAACTACTACCGTCTGTATGAATTGATGCAACAAACAAAGAAATGTCTGAAGAGAACCTCTCAACAGATTGTATCTCAGGTTAAATACTAACTAATTATATCTGTGTTGGGGGTTGTGAAGAGATTGTTACGAGTCTTCATGTTGCTGGTCCTTTGATAATTTTACAAAAATGCCCACTTTTATCAAAATGGAATAAAAAGCTGGTGGGTAATAGCTAATGGCCAAAATGGTTGTAAACATTCATATGCATTAGAAAATGTTCTTGTGTTGAAATATGTGGAAAAGTGCAATTCATCAACCCTTATGGTATATGTAGTTGATTTTCACACTTTTTTCTAATGTACCACTTAACCCTTCCCTGCCTATCCTTTGTAAAATATTTCCAGAAATATCCGATTTTGAATCATTCAGTAGTAGAAAAAGAGGCATATTTTCATTACTTGACAATGTGGGATAGGTGCAATTTATTACATTGTCACTAAAATAGAAGAAGCAATTCCATAGGTACCATAACCTATTTTAGGTACCACAAGGTGTCTTTTTACACAGCTCATTTGAATACAGATGTTCTGAGAAGGGGTTTTCTATTTTAAAAATACCATATCAAAATGAATGTGCCTTATTTTTGTATAAGTCTTGTTAAATCTTTTAGTGTCCATATTACCGTTTAGGGAAGGGGGGAGGTTGGGGCAGAAGAGAGCGTGGGTACTTTCTATGACACATAAATTGTAAAATTTTTGCCTGACAATGCTGGCCACATTCTGATCTGTTGCATTAAATTTGTGGTGATTTACTCTAAACATTTTGACTATTTGAATGTACTGAAATCTCAGAAAACAAAACAAGGGGAAAATATACTTAATTAAAATATGCTGCTGCCAAGGAGACTGCAACTTGAAGCAAGGATTCTGTAATGTGCAAAGTCCACGCCCAGTTTCCACTTCAGAGGAGTTAACCACATTGAAGAGAGAATGCTTTAAAATAGACCTCGTTTGGAAACCCAATTATATGTAGCTCTTCATGACTTATCATATTCAAGAATATGTCTGTTCACTGAATTCCACACTTTTGTATGTGTGCGCTAACCTCCAATTGAAGTTCTGAGCCCGTGGGCCACTACAATACTTTTTATAAAATTTATTTGGGGTCATTGTTAACTTAATATTAAAATAAAAGCAACATTTAAACTATTCAGTTTTAATATAAAAAGGATTGAGTATCTTCATTTCTGAAAGTGCTCTTTGTGTTAAACTAATAGATTATTGTCTGACTTTAAACTTCCATTTACCTCCTGTTATTCCAGCATCTTTTTAGAGAAATTAAAACCTAATTTCTGTTTCACCAGGTAGTCTAATTATCATCTGGATTTTTCATCAAGATACAGCTCCTAAGATTATTGTTATGTTAAATTCATACACTTCTTCCACCTTTAGTAATTAAGGAAACACTACTGGTGGTGATAAAGATATTAAAAGGGAGTAGTTTCATGCAATAAACATGTACTGTAAGTTTCCTTCCTGGTTTGGGGGGAATAGACGACTAAAAAAGAAACAAAAACTTCCTTTTTGTGGACTTGCTCGTTACAGACCTTAGAATTGTCAGAGCAAGTTCCAGGAATAAGATCAATATTTTCATTGCATCTTAAATGTAGAATCTTCCTATGGGAGTTCACTGTGGTCTGGGAATTCTGATCAGTTGAAATAACATATCTTGATGCAATAACAGTGGTTTTGCCACTTCTGGTTGTTTAAGGTTGGTCTGTCCCATGTCAGTCAGGTCTTATTCAGTGTGTATTGCCACTAACTGCTCACAGGTAAAGCAGAAATTTTCTTTAACAAGCAAGTTATCAGGGAAATGAAGAGGGGATGCTTTTGCTTTGGGCTGTGATCAAGAACTGATTAAATCATCAGTGTCTCCAGCGTATACTAAAAACCATACATTTCAATTGTGATCTCAGTGGCATATTTGTGTGCCTAGGTTTTATTACAGTTATAACAGATGTTCAGTTGACCAAGTAGTTCATTACTTTCTCCTATCTTTTTTATTTTTTTGGAAATTTTAATTTGGGACTTTAACTGCAGTGTTTGAGAATTCAGCATCCTTATTTTCTACAAATACTGGCTAAAATAAAATGCTGTAAAGTGTGTTGTAAAACATTGTAATTACCTTCCCATGTCTTTGTTGTACTTGTGCCGAAATGTTTTCACATCCTTTTGTCTGGAAGGAAATCTTCGCTTTCATTTTATGTTGCTTACCTTGGAATCAATAGGTTTTGATATTTTCTCTTGGAAGATTTTATATCTTTTTGGGAACATGTAATATAAGATATCTAATAAAAGATAAATCTTATCACGTACATGGCCCTCTAGAGTGTTCTTAAAACTTATTTTGTACCCAAAATATATTAAGACATTTTGAGTGGTAAGGTGGAGTAGTGAGGGCCTTTGTGAATGAATTGCTCCTTCTTTAGCCCAGTTATAGTTAGAAAAGATAGTTTTCAAAGGCAAGTGGCAGATGGGATGGAGGTGGGTTTCACATCTGGGTGTGGGATCACGTTTGAGATTAGAATCTAGGAACCTTTCAGAACAACGTGGTACAGTGCCCGTGGGTCCTAAGTCAATGAGGAGGAGCAGATTGTGGTAAGATTCCACATACTCCAGGACAAAGGTGAAGAGGAGAGTAACCCAAGACATGAAGCTGAGCGGGTCCATGTGAGCTGATCCACAAGGCGAGGTGGGTTGGAAGACTGGGATCTGGAGGTGCTCTGCCAGCCCACTGGCCCGGACCAGCACACGGCACACACCTAGTGGCTTTGGGGGAGTTCCTTCAGAGCCAGGAGATGGGGGAGGGTGCAGGATAATTATCCAGGAGGTGGTATCTATGGATTAGCCAGGCAAACGATACATGATATGCTAACTAGGAACTTTCAGCTTGTTTTGAGTGACATATAGTACAGAGATTAACCAATTTGTATATGCCAAATTGTAAAAACCTTGAAAATATTAACACAAGTTGCATCAGCAGACAATGAAAATTACTTTCAGCTCCATAATACTTGATTATCAACATGTCAAAATAATTTGAATATTAAAACTGGTAAAGAAAAAATTTAATTTAGGTGGGCATATGTTCACATGCCTGACCTGTAATAAGAAACCAGCTACGGGAGTTGTGAGACTGGTTAAAGGGGTGGTTCCGAGGGGAGTAGAGGGAGATCACTAAGGCCCTGCTGCTGCCATGATCAGCAGAGCACAGAAGCCTGAAGAGGTTGTAACTGACGAGACGCTGTCAGCATTCGCTGGTTTATGCAAGCACAAACAGGAAATTTATGGTCCCCAGCAACAAATGTTCAAGGGTAGCTGGAGAGCACTTGATACAGCTGTAGCCAAGTATGAGATGATGTCATGCAGGCCTGTCTTGCTCTCTTGGTTTTGCTTTTCCTCTGAGCTGTTCTCATTCTCAGACAAAGACTGCATATTTGATGGCAGCATGGCCACCAGCGACCTATATTTGCATCCAGCCAGCTTAGTGACCCCAGTGGGAAAAGCACCTTTATCTAATTTTTCAGCAAATGTCCTGGGATTAATGTCTCTGGCTGTCATCTGGCTTATATGCTAATTGACTGGCTAAGGGTAGAGTTGGGTTCAACTAAACCACATGGACAAAATGAGTGAGAAATAACCCTCCCCTCATACCACCTCCCCCAATAGAAAAGGGATTCTACAACCAGAGAAAAGGGAATTAAACACTAAGATACTTTGGATGCTAGGCAGGCAAAATACAGTAGAAATATATTGCAGAGAAAAACTAAATGTGCAGATTTAAGGAAGCAAGCATACCCAGTTTCAGTTTCAGGAAAGGTTCTATAGAAGAGGACTTGAAATAGCTCTTAGAAGATGCATTTGATTTTAGCAGATACAGACAATATGTGTGTTCCCTGTAAAAAGACCAGGAAACCTTACAACCCCATAATGGCAAGGTTCTTCATACATGTGCTGTCCAAGAAGGTAGCCACCAGCCACAGATGGCTCTTGAATGTTTGAAATGTGGTTTGTGCAACTAGGGAATTATCTTATTCTAGTTTAATTAAATTTAAATAGCAACATGTGGCTGCAGCACATAGTATGTATAAGATACTAACTAGTAGAAAATACAACTAAAAATGTAAGTTAAAATCACATTGTGCTGGAATCTTGCTACTTGGGGTGGTCCTCACGCCAGAAGCACGGGCATTACCTAGAAACTTGTTAGGAAGGCAGACACTCAGGCCCCACACCAGACAGCTGTTCATAACCTACATTTTAGCAAGATCCCAAGGACTCACTAGCCTGGGAGACATTTCAAGAGTCTATCTCCTTATTAAACTTTCCTAAGTAACTCTTGGTGATAAGTCCTATACCCTGAATCCTCTGCTACCAGAAAGCATCCCATAAAATCTGTCCACTTGCCCGCCCCCCCCCCCCCGCCCCCTGCTGCCTTTGCCTCCTAACAGTTTCTCTGCGTAATTCCAGTCCTACCCCTTTTGGTTTCTTTTTTTCACATAGAATCCAAAAAGTGAAATTGAAAAAGCTTCTTTCCTGTTAAAAATGGTTTCTTGTTACGCTTGAAATAACATACAAACGTTCACCATGGCCAAAAGCCCTACATGGCCTGCTCCCTATCCCTTCCACCTACCTCAACTTTAGGAGATGTGTATGTGTGGTTTCAGAAATCCTTTCCTGACCCAAATCCATGTTATGTTACACCACTCACCCTCTTACTGTTTTCTAGGGTTTTTATGCGTTTCTAATACACCAAGAATTCCTCTTAAGGGCTTTGCACTTGTTTCCTCTGCTTCCAAGATCCTGCTTTCAGATCTTCCATGACAGGCTCCTTGTTCTTCAGGTTTAGTTCAGGTATCATCTCCAGAATCTCCCTTGACCAGCCAGTTTAGCCAGCCCCGCCTCCTCTCCTTCACTGAGTATTTTATTACCCCTCTTCCTTTCTTCTTAACAGAGCCAAACTTGAAATTATGTAGGTTTGCCTTCCCCACTAGAATTTAAGCTCCACAGAACTCCAGCTATTTGTTCAGCATTATATCCCCACACTGGGAAAAGCAGGGTTTCAGTAAACATATGTTTAATAAATTAATGAAAGTATGTGTATCACCAGTAAATGTTGAGGAAAAATTGCATTTTCAGAATTGAAGGCTGGAAAGTCTCTTACATCTTCATTGCATTTTTCTGTTCATGTTATTTTCCTGCTTAAAACCCTCAGGAAGGACTCATTAGCAGAAATTAAAGTATAGATGTTTCAAGCTGCATTCCTAGTCTCCTAAAAGTTGTGACCTCCTTACAGAACATACTGTAGTTGCTTGTCAAGCAGCGACTGCCCCTCTGCCTTCTTTGCTAATAAAACCCGGAATTTACTCATGTATCAGACAGTGAGGAGCCTCTAGAGATGAATTGTGATTGGTCTAAATTAGTCATAAGTCCCTTCTCTAGGCTGGGTGATGGATTTAGGGTGATTGTGACATGTGTCACAATCTTAGCCAATGAGCTACCATAGGAGGTCGGTTGGGGGGCTTCTGGGAGAGGTCCCCTCCCTCTTCAAAAGGGGAGAGCATGTCACTCTCACTTGACAGTGCTGTGTAGTGTGGAGGCTGGAGCTGAAGCTGGTGCAGCTGCAGCCATTTTGCAACCCTGCAGAGAGACAAGCCTAGGACAAAAGTCAAGTGGATGACCAAGTGAAGTAGAGCTTGGGTCCCAATGATGATCTACTGAATGAACCAGCTCCAACTTGGTTATCTATAATAATAAAAGCATAATATGCTAATTAGACCAGATGGCCAAACAATGGAATGACTGTCTGGATGACCTTCCAGACGACCTTCCAGATGATACTGGGGCTGCGAGGACCGAGCCCCTTGCACGAATTTCGTGCATCGGGCCTCCAGTATGACATAATTGTCACTTTACTGTTCAAAACACTTTGGGTTTAGGGTTATGTTACAAAGTGCTGAAAGCATTTAAACCCATGCTCCTCACCAGTGCCTCAGCACCGTGCTCTCTTGTTTGAATACTTTGCTGAATGGGAGCCTGTGTACAGCCTGACTAAAGCTTGGCTGTCCCTACTGCTCCTACCACCTTGCATATTTTGCTCAAAATGGTTAATAACACTGCACTTAATTATAAAGAGTTAGTCAAAGGTAAGGTGAGAAGGGTTTTTAAAAATACAAAGTGAATCAAGGACGTGTACACTAGCCTTACAGTTGAAAATGCCTTCATTCGCAGCATTCCAAGCATATACACTAGGAGAGTCTTCCAATTCACACATGGAATTGGGGCTGGCTCCTATGTAGCAAGGGGAGACTTCCCAGTGTCAAGCAAAATCTGGAGGCTGAGGGGAAGAGAACCAAGGGGTTGGGGGGGGAGCAAGGAGTCGGAGGGGCAAGCTTCTTTGGAGTATGTCACCACACTCTTTAAATATTTTAAGATTTTCCCAAATAGATTTATATGACTGACTATAAGTGAATTTCTGAATCTCCAAACAGGTAAAGGAGGGACAACATTGTAACAGTTCTATTTAAAAGGCCATATTTTAAGGGCCTTTTACATGGAGTCTAGTGTTCTTGGCTCCCATGTGCTACATAGCTTTCTAATTTTTTTATTCACAAGCTTAACCTTGGGCTCATTTTCTGGTCCCAGATCTGAATGGTAATGCTAGCAAGCAAGATATGTCACTAGGGCCTGGATGTGTGCAATTCTTTCACTAAACCAAATGAAGCCCTCGTTGGTTGGCTTTCAAAGAATGATCTGCAGTTGTGGGGAGACCTTTGTTTTGGCCCCAAATTCTCCTTGAAACAAAAGATCAGAGCCCTTGCCTGCCTTGGGATGGATTCCCTTGCCTCGTGCACGACTGAAATAACTTCAGGCTTGCTGTATGGGAAGTGAGTGTTCAAGAAAAATGACTTGACTCATTTGGTCATTTTGTCTTTCTAAATGGATGTTTTAAGTGCAGTTAACAAGATTGGTTTGAAGTTAAAATCTATTTTCTTAGGTAAAATCTAGAAATTCATCCTCATTGAATCTATGGGGCTCCCTTTAATAGAGCCTGAAGGCAATCGGTTTTAAATTCTGCACTGAGCTTTCAATAAACATTAGCTGAAGCTGTCATCTGAGCTTAGGCTCTGGGAGGAGGATTTTAATTCCCTACCCTGTGTCTAGTAAAGGAGAGAAGTTCTGCATAGAGTTAAGGAGCCATCAGATCAGGGAGCAACAGGGCCATCTTAGTAGGCGGCACAAATCCTAGTCACTGGGAGCACAGAGGAAGGAGACTTTACTTCCATCTGGAGTGATGAGGCGGAAGGGAAGCAGA